GTTAAAACTGTATCACATTGTCGCACGTTGGTTCAAAAAGGTTTAAGTCTTTTCGTTCACAGTATGTTTTCCACTGCCGTAAAGATGATTCGTATTGTTTAATCGTTGAATTTGCCAACGATGCTATTATTTCTAATGACTCTTGAGGTACACCTTTTTTCAGAAAGGCTTTGCCGATAATCTCCTTGCAATTAACCCCTTGCCGTGCTTTAACGAGTCTGACTCGTGATGAAAATTTTGGCCCAAACATGAATATGACGAGCCAGGCTCGTGAATAGATCGTCGGGCCAAACGTAAATATCACGAGCCGAGGTCGTGTACAGATAGTCGGATCAAACATAAACATCACGAGCCTGAGTCGTGATTGAATGTTAGTTTCTATCTGTACGCCACCAGAGTTAGTCACGAGTCTCATAATTGCTGTTACAAAGTAGTTTATGTTATTATATTGAAATTTAATAATAAACCCTTACAAAATGCAAAATAAAAGAGGTTTAAATGAAAGCAGTGATGATGAATCTGGTGATAGTGATGTTCTTCCGCTAACCAGAAAACGTCTAAGGCCTATGATTATAGAAGATAGTAGTGAAGAGGAAGTTACGACGCGTCAAACATGGATTTGGCAGGAGAAAAAAAACACACCAATAGTTTGGACGTATTCTGAGACTCGTGGTATAAAGGCGTCTGTTCTTACTAATTTAAACAAGGATCCAACAATATTAGAACTATTTTCTATTATATTTGATAACAAACTGTGGGATATAATTATTACGGAAACAAATCGCTTCGCATACCAAGAAATGAACGACGAGTGTAAAAGACGGAAAGTGGACGACAATTGGTATCCTGTTACCTTGGACGAAATAAAGGCCTACTATGCATTATGTATTTTGATGAGTCAAGTGAGAAAACCAAATATACAACAGTATTGGACTACAAGAGCAGTAATAGAAACGCCAATATTTCGAAAAACAATGCCATTTAAGAGATTTAGGCAAATTTCGAGATTTCTACACTTCTCTAATAATGAAACTTCTAATAGAAATGACCGACTTCGAAAGGTAAGACCCATCATCAACCTCTGGAATAAAAATTTGAAGAAATTTACACACCCAGTGAATATATCAGCATAGACGAATCCCTGATGAAATATAAAGGGCGTTTAGCATACAAACAATACAATCCGTCAAAAAGAGCTCGATTTGGATTAAAAATTTATAAATTGTGCGAGGCAAATTCCGGATTCTGTTATAAATTCAAAATATATACCGGCCAGGACAAAATTAATGTAAATGATAGTGCGTCGCAGAACGTTGTGATGGATTTGTCAAAATCAATAATAAACAAGGGATATACTTTGTTCCTTGATAACTGGTATTCTTCACCCGAACTTTTTTCAGAATTAAACCAGAAAAGGACAAATGTTATCGGGACAGTACGTAAAAATAGAAAAAATATGCCACGGGATATTCAAAAGCCTGTTTTGAAAAAAGGAGAATGTGTATGGAGGAGCTGCAATAATTTGATAGCTCTAAGATGGAAAGACAAGCGCGACGTATATATGATATCAACGAAACACGAAAGTGTAGAGATGGTTGAGCAATGTGATAAAAAATTACAGAAAGTAGTGAAACCTAATTGTATCATGGAATATAACAAAGGTATGGGTGCAGTGGATTATCAAGATCAGCTGTTATCCTGTTTCCCAATCATGAGAAAAGCCATCAAAGGATACCGAAAGCTTTTCTTTTACATGTCAGATATGGCCCTGTTGAATACCTATATTATGCATAAAATTATACACGGTCGAAAAAAGGAGAGTTATGGTCAATCCCGAGTAAATATAGCAGAAACAATTTTACAAAATGTCCGATTACCGGATTACAAAACGCGTGGAAAATCTACATCAATTGAACCTCTTCGACTTCAAGCACAATATTGGGCTCATTCCCAAAACTATCAATGCGACGGCTCGAAAAAGCACCCAACAAGGACGTGCAAAGTTTGTTCTAAGCATAAAATACGAAGCGAAACGAAGTGGGAGTGTGCGAAATGTGAAGTAGCTTTACATCTGCCAGAGTGTTTTAGGAAGTATCATACCAAAGAGGATTTTTAGACTTGTTAGTATTTTCTTATTAGATATTGATTCAAGGTGAATATTTATTACAATTAAAGTTTTATTTTTAGCCGTGATATTATTACTTTCTTTGGAACAAACCCACAGTTGAAGATGCAAGGATTTCTGTTAAACTGTTAAACTGTTCTATTGAATTCGTGAAATATAATTTTGTAACTGTTATCGATTACAAAATATAATATAGTATAATAATTATAATGTAATGAATCGATTTCAAATATATAATAAATACAAAAGGTATTACAGTTTATTTTCACAACAGCAGTATTGTGCAAAGTGTCTATATCAGAGGCATTTACATTTCGGCTCGTATTGTGACCTTTCTCGCGCATCAGTCTGATCTGTTTACCACGCGTTGACGCCTAACACTTGGACCCGAGTTTCGTCGAGCTAAATGGCACGGCAAGGGGTTAAACGGAGATGTTGTGCCCTGGGATGCTGTGACAACCTGCTTGATGATAAAAGCAGATTAGGATGTGCATTAAACAAAATCGGGTCAGATATTAATAGACTAGTAAAGAGAGGATACCATGGCTGATTTGGCCAATCAGGCACCACTACGATACCACAGGCTTTATCTTGCTTTATTTTGACTAGAGTCCTTAATATCAGGATGAATGGGGGGAAAGCGTAAAAGTTTAAGTCGGACCACGAGAAAGTAAAAAGCATCAATTTGTTCACTATTGGGCTCCGGATACCAGGAAGCGAATCTATTACATTTTTTATTAAATTTGTAGCAAATAAATCTATTTCTGGTCTGCCGAACTTGGTAACTATTTCCTTAAACGCAAACGATGCTAGTTCCCATTCTCCATCGTTATTTTTTAATCGTGATAGAGTGTCTGCCTCTACATTGTCTTTGGAAGCTATATAGGACGCAAATAAAAAATATTCTTGTCCTCGGCCCATTTCCAAATTTTTCGAGCTAGAAAATTATATTTCATATATCTAACGCCTCCCATTTTGTTAATGTAAGATATTGCTGTGGTATTGTCTATTCGTAAAAGAATCTGATAATTCCTAACATCTATCGCTAATTTACATAAGGCCAGATATACCGTCAGAAGTTCTAAATAGTTTATATGCTTCCTTTTTTCAGATTCATTCCAAAAACCATGTATCCTCTCGTTACCATTCACAGCTCCCCGGTTGTAAATGCATCAGTGTAAATTACCATTTAAAAATTACCCGATTTAATCGAGTTAATTGAATTTTTTAGACTGGCTCTCCACCAATCTAGTTCCGAAAGAAGGTGCTGGGAGATTATTATAGTCTTATCGTAATTATAATCGTTGATAATAAGAGCCAGTAGTTTTTCTCTTTCTAAAAGTCTTGTGTATAATAAGCCATATTCTATGGCTGGACAAGCTGCGACTAGTTTACCAATTAATTGTGCTAGATCACTAATTAAACAAGTCTTTTGTGACATGAATTTGGTTAACATGTTACGTAAATTTGTTCTTTTTTGTTCTGTCAGCTCTATATAATATTTAACAGAATCGATGACAAAACCTAAGAATTTACATCTTGTTGATGGAACAAGTTGACTCTTTCTATTATTTATTATGAAACCTAATCGAGATAACAATTCTCGTGTTTCAAAGACGTTAATTCTACATTCTTCTAAGGTGCTTCCTATGCATAGAAAGTCATCTAAATAGATGACTGAGGATAAGCCTCTACTCTGTAGAATTTTTGCAACTGGTTTCAATAGCTTTGTAAAAACAAAGGGGGCTGTACAAAGTCCAAATGGTAAGCAAGCAAATTCGAACATTGTATCTAGAAATTGAAAACGCAAGTACTTTCGACTGTCTTTATGTATCGGTACTACATAATATGCATCCTCAAGGTTGATTGAAGCCATAAAATCTCCCGGAAATATTAATTTTATTGCCGTACGTAAATCTAACTTGAAATGGGTAGTTTCGATAAATTCGTTTACTTTCTTTAAATTGAGAATAAAGCGGTGTGATCCGTCTGATTTTTTAACTAAGAAATACAGTAGTTATACTATGGGGGTTCTAACTCAGGGATCTGAGGGGGTGCGCGGGTGAAGAGGGGAAGAGGGGTATCGGATAACAGTGGAGGGGGTAATGACGTCTTCGTTTTTGGAGGAGAGGGGGTAAATGTGGAGTGGTGGGGGTATCAGATTACAATAATTCCCGGAAGATAAGGATTGTTAATACAAATCGCAAGATAAGGATTCCCGGAAAAGATAAGGATTGTTTATTGGAAAGAGAACTGTTTATTGGTGCAGGTTTTTTTTTCTACGCATCAAAGTAGAGCGCCATGTTGTCAGAATCATTATGTTTATAGTATGCAGGTTCGTGCAGATTTACGGATTGCGTCATCGCTGTATTTTAGAACAAAGAGGCAGCATTTGAGCGCCGTTTCTTAGAGGGTGTGATAAGGATTGTTAATACAAATATAAACCATTGATAGTTTTAATCAATTTTGTGTGCAACAAGCGGGTATATAAAGCAAGTGAAAAAGAATAGGAACCATCAGTCGTTCGAAATCATTGAGAAAATCACTAGTTCGCTGTGACGTTTACTAGCAACAATGTTTTGCACCATGTCAACCGTGAATAATCAGATCAACGAACAGCAGAGTGCGAAGAAGCTGCAATTACCCAACGAGTATGTTGTTTCTTTAGCCACATCTTTAAACTTAATTGTTATACTTTTAAACTAACAATTTATTTTTTCACAGAAAACAAAAAAGTAATATGTCAAAGATGAAAAAAGAATCATCTAGGATCTTGGTTAGAAGATACCCGTTGACAAAAACCAGTTACAAATATCTCGA